GGGGGTTTTCCCCCCCCCCCCCCCCCAACTCTTTGTGGAGATGCTTTTGCCAGATCAGAGGGGCACCACATGCTTTTCATAAGGTGAAGATCCACATCATGGTGGATTACCTAAGATCCACATGCCTTCAGTAAGTGACACACACACAGAGAAAGTGTTAATTTACATTGGGGAAGTTTTAAAAACCTTGAACCAGGTAAATTTATATGAAGGATAACATCAGGCAGATTTGAATTAGAAAGGTATACTGAGAAGATATAATTAAAAACTGAATAAAGAGGTTGTGCACATAAACTATATTAAGGAAAGTGTATAAATAAATATTATTAATCTTTAAAAATATATACAAAAACTCAGGAAAATTAAAATACAGCTTTACTATGACAGACGGTACTTGTCCCACACTCCTACTTTATCTTTGAAGTCCACTTAGTTAGGGAGCCTCAGTAAGATGCAACCATGTTTATGATATGAACCTTCTAACTAGTTGGCATCCAGTTGGCTATTGTGCCAAGCAGGATAATGAACTTGATTATCCAGATCACTTGATGGGCACTTTTTATAATCTGGTGACTTTAAGAGAAAATGTATGGAAGGAAGAATAAAACAGATCAACAGCCATATCACATGCCTAATGGGATTGTGGTGGCTTTGTTTTCTAAACAAAACAATAAATAAGACCTCTCGGACTAAGAAAAGCAAAGGATAAAGGAGAACCCTGCAACATTTGACAGCCCTGAACATCTTCTCTTAATGCTGTATGTTTCTCAGAATAAATTATATAGGGCACTATTCCAAAAGAAAAGTCTGATCAGTTAGTGAGTTAAATCTATGGGTCTGAATCAAGCTCAACTCCCAGACATTAGAACAAGAAAGCTAAGCCTAATATGAAATTAATGGGTCTTTGACATCCTGACTATGAAGGCATTTGGAAAAAGTAAGACAGTGAGCAAATCATTTCTCATTAAGAAATCTCTCATATGGCTTAAATATACATTACATTTTAAACACCTGCCTGGTGAAATGCAAATGGTAGAAGAGGAATTTCAGATGTAGGATATCTTTGAAATATTTTATGTAACCTTCATGTGAAGATCCTTAATGATTCTAAGAGGTTTCACATATAATAATAGTAAGTAAAGGTATTATGGAGAACAAACTCAACCTAAATTTCCCATTTATATTTCACCGGCACCATTTCTTCTTTCTCTGTGGGTGTGTTCATCACAATCTTGCCTTCTGTTGAGCAGCTGTGGCCTTTACTGCATTCCTTGAGTTTAAAATGTTGGTCAGCCAGTTGATATAACATGACAGCAATTTATATGAATGGAGCAAAATATCTGCTTGCCCCATGCTGTGGTTTTCACATGGATTTTATCTCCAAGCTTCCTTCCTACCTTTGAAGGGAAGCAGGCATTAGTTTCCGCACTGCTTCACATGTGATATTTTGATCTGGTTAGCAAGTGATTTGTTCTAGGCGGCCTATGAGGCTGCTTAGATTTCTAAACGTTGTCCGCAGTCTACAGTATTTAAACATCAAATGGCAAGGGGAGGGTGATGCTGGGGTCCAGTGTTAATAATATTACTTTTTTAATATATCTCTGTACCTGATAAGTTGTAGCATATTTCTTAAGAATGCTTTTAGGCTTGCTTATCATAAGGAGTATTGTTTGTGAACCAGTTAGGATGAAGTAGTTCCATTTTACGTAACAAATCTCCGCTTTGGTCCAAATCGCTCACAGAATATCATGAAATGTACAGAGAAATAATTCTGAATAATATATACATATATTTTTTCAAACCATTATAGGTGTTTAAATAGCTGGGAATTGAATGTGTGGGATGTAAGAGGCAAACCACAGTTGTGACACAAAGAGAAACATACAACCACTCTTCCAACATTCCTTCCCTCACACAATGAAGGATCATGTGAGGGAGAATGGAGGCATTCTCTTCCAGTCATCTGTGGACCTCTCTGAGTCAGAGGATTTCCACAAGTATTTTGTGTAGTAGAAATTGTGTAGGAATCCTAGCCAGATTCCCATAGAAACCAAGCCATTGTTTCAAATACCAAAACAAACAAACAAAAACTTGAGAATTTGAGATCTACTCATATATTTCTATCCTCCTGAGTAATCAGGCTTCAAGATAATATACAGTATGTGAAATGTTGGGAAACCTGAGCAGTACAAATGCTAAATTTTGCAAATATCCTCAACTATTCCTCATATACAGTAGGACATGCACCTATTGAAAATGGATAAAGATTATAACTCAACATTTCTCAAACTTTTTTGGGTCACCCCCCCCCCCTTAGTTCTACCAAGTTTTTTGTAACACCCCCTGTCTTGTGTTATGTGAATTATAATTTTTTTCAAAACAAATATTTATTGCACATTTATTGCACAATTTTTGCAAACAAAAATATTTTTAAAAATAACAAACATCCATTAAAGATTTAAAAAATTGAAAATAAATTATACAGACATTGGTTTAATTATCTTTATCAGAAATGTAAATAAAAAATTAAAACAATCTTGATTTTAATGTACAAATATACATAGAATTAAAATGAAACACACACACACACACACATTCTTACCTAAAATGAAACAAAATTCAATACGAACACTGAAACACAGTGATGTATCTACGTTTAAACAGAATAGTTCAATAGCCGTTATGTTTATTTCTAAATAACTGAGCATGCAGCTTGTGTTTTCGTGAACCATACAGTTGTGTTTATACCCAGAAGCAGTCCAAAGCACGATACTATTTCAAGCATTCTAAAGTTTGATATATTTATAATGATCAAAGTGTATGTTTACAGTTTTATACACTTAATAAAATTTTTGGATAAGTTACATGTAATCTTCTGTTATTATAATCCTAATTGCCCCTCCTGTCACCCCTTTGCTGTCTAACGCCCCCCTGCCACTCCCTTACTGCCTAACCCCCCTCTGAATAATTCAAAAGCCTCCCAGGGGGCGGTATCACCGTTTTTGAGGAACTCAAAGATCCTGTAATGGACGAATAACTTATATATTCAGATCACTATATGTGAGGTGTAGTAAAAAGATGAGTAGTGTTAAGGGGTTGGTTTGGGAAGCAGGGCTGAACAGAAGAGCAGTTGTAGTATTGCCATCTATTAGATTAGGGTTTTTCAAACTGGGTTTCATGAGAACTTGATGGAATTTCATAACAGACTACAGGGGGAAAAACCCCACTCAAGACAGACACAGAGGTTGGCTTCTTGAACAGGGTTCCAGGATTGATTGATTGATTTAAACAAACAGGTTATGTGACCTGACCAAGTTTGAACATCCCAGACAACAGGCCATCAACTGTACATTTTGTGGGTGAGTGCTTGATTCAAGGACAAGATACTAAGTATGAAGCCTGCTTTCAGTTTGCAATCTATTGCATCAGTTCCAGTTTGCAATCTATTGCATCATGTTTTTACTGACAACCAATTGTACAGAAGCGGGTAAGAAAACTGGTAATGATGGAGGACTTATTTATGAAATGTATAGACCAGTGTTTCTCTGGCTGGGGAATTCTGGGAGTTGAAGTCCACACATCTTAAAGTCGTCAAGGTTGAGAAACACTGGTATAGACT